ATATTTAATGATCTATATCATTAAACAATGATATTTAACAAATTTACACTGTTAAACAATGATATTTAATGATTTACATCATTAAACAATGATATTTAATAATCTAGTCTATTAAACAATAATATTTAACAATATATATCATAAAACAATGATATTTAATGATATACATCATAAAACAATGATATTTAACGATATATATATCATAAAACAATGATATTTAATGATATACTTCATTAAATAATGATATTTAATGATATACTTTGTTAAACAATGATATTTAATAATATACTTTATTAAATAATATACATTGATGACTCTGATATATATTGATATATATCAAATATCTGTTTCGATATGCATCAATGACTCCAATATATATCAATATATAACTAATGATAAAAATCGATACAAATCACCCCAAAAAATTTCCTGATGTAAGGAAAGATATTTATGATTGATATCCAAGTGTAACTATTTCACTAAAAATTAATAATAATCTTCTACTATACTATTCTACTATATATAAATATCATATTACAAGTAATAATAAAAATCTAGATCCAAATATAAAATAAAATATAATATGTAAAAATAAAAATATTATAATAAATATATTAATATATAATATGAATATTTATAGAATAAATGAAAATCATAAGAAAATATAATTTTGCATAATCAAGAAAAGATTAGGAAATTAAGAAATTTTATGTTACTATGGTAATACTATATGATAGTTATTATAAAATATGATTCTAAAGCTTTATTTCAAGATTATTACAAATATCTCTTAAGATATATTTAGAATTATTATTATGTTGAAAGATCCAGTACTGATATTTATATATATTATTTAAATTAAAATGTAAATAATTATTAAGAATTCAAAAATATAAATAATAAATATATTTTTAGTAAACAAATATTTTTCAATTTTTTTACAAATAGAAATTATACTCTATATATAAAGCTTAAATGAATATTTAATTATTAATACTACAGATTTGCCAGTATATAACTATGCCAAGCAGATATTTTGAAATAATTATAGTGTTGTTTTATCAAAAAATACAATCTTTTTCCAGTTGTAATAGCAATGATCATATGTCTATTGAAATCAAATTTTCTTAGCACTTTGAGAAGAGGGATACATCTAGACATGTTAGCAATATAACCAAGCCTAGAAAGCTCATATTGAATAGTCCTTCATTAACCTTTAGGTTTGGATTAGTTTTCTTAGCTGTATCTCTATTTCACTTGCTGTAAAAATGATTTCTGTTTACTATTTTGCCAAATTGGCAGTGCTGAGAAAAGGGAATTTTATGCGGATGGCCAGAATGATAAATCTCTGAAATTTGACCATTCTTTTGAAGTTGAGCAACATAATGCTCACAACAGCGAAGAGGAACACCAGTTTTTTGAGAGCTCTCTGATAACCATTTTGCTAAAAGTTCTTCACAAGTTCACAGTTAGTTTTTATAGAATTATGACCCATTTTAAAGTTTGTTTACAAAAGACAGAGTCATGTTTTCATGAAGATATAAACATTAGTGATCATGTTACTCATGATTTACATTATAAACAAAAATTTAGAACCGAATGAGTTCTAGAAAAGGCTGTGCAAAACAAAATTTAGAAAATATCACCGTTATTACTTTTGACAGGGACTGTAATTCAATTAAACTTGATAATTTTATATTACTTGAAATCAGGAACCCGTTGGTCAATTCGAATGGAAAGGCAAATAATTTAGAAAATCAAGCTTTTGCTTATTATTATTTTTATTAGAAAATCACTTATAGACATTTTATATTTCTTAATAGGTAGTTGGAAAGATCATGACACAGAGTGGAAACCCGAATAACTCAAAATTTTAAATTATTCTTTGAAGATGACGGTTCGTTCTTGGAGTATGGTGATTTCCTCAAGCACTTTCAAGCAGTCGATGAATGCGAATTCTATCGTGATCAGTGACGCGTCTATTTTCACTGGAAAAGTGGACGGATTAATTAGAAATAATCCAAAGTTCACTGTTGAACTTAAAGATCCCGAGGATGGATGGAAGATTATCAACAGCCAGGTCCGCGTTATTCTGGAAAAACTACAATAAAACCGGGTAACAAATGGCTGGCATGTTTTATTTCATCATGTTCTATTGCTGCTAATAATTTGATACTATAACCAGTTTTAATCTGAAGTTCAATTTAATCGAAACAAAAACAAAATGGCCATCTCCGGAAAATTGCGATCAATCTCAGCATTCGCTTCCTGCAGGGATGATTGCCTGGGTTAAGAATTTATATGGAATTAATATTAACTTAGGAGTAAACTAGCGTGTTGAATCTATATTTCATTTCTTCTAACATTTTATGCAGGCAGTAAATTTCTATTTGTGTGTTATTTGATATGCTTTATCGTTATACGTGAACAACTTAACTTAGATGTTAAAAATTTCCTTATAGAGTAACAATATAACTTTTAAATATTATACGATCATATGCTTTATATCGATATCGATATACACAAAGTGAAACACAAGAGGTAAAATACATTATATGTATTCATATCTTTACATTGTCTAACCGTTTTCAATCTTAGCTTTTAGTTTCTCTAATGCAGATTCTGCATCTGGTCTGTTAGTCTCTCCATAATATCTCTCGGCATCCTTAATATCGATTGGTACATCATGTTCGCCATTTAGTAAAATATCAGCATACCAAAATAATGCATTCTTATCACGTGCTTTTACGGCCTCTTCTAAGTATTCAAGTCCATTCAAACACGCCCGTGCGTACAAATATTGCGCTGCGGCAGTATAAGTACCAACTGGCAGATCGTCAGAAACCTGCCGTAAATATTTTATAGCATCAAGTTCATCTTGAAGCACACCCTCCCTCTTGTCCATCAAGAAGGTACCAGCCAAGTAGATATCTTGCTTGATTTGCTTCGGGTCCTTCATTTGTTACGTATTCTTCGAAAGCTTCCGCGTATAGATTCGTACTATGATGTTTCATTACTTTTCTCTCCAACTCGGTAATTCATTGTTCTCAGTACTAAAATTATGTCTATTGTCGAACTGAAGCAAAGCATTAGGAAAGGCTTTTTCATCTTCGTCGTCAAGTGGACCTATTACTGATAATAAAGGTGATGGTGCAGTAGATATAATATCACGGAAAGCTTCGTCATGCGGTTTGTGCGCTCCGGATATTTTAAGTTGCCTTGCGCATATTGCGTACTCTGTATATCTAATAGAATTTCAAGTTCATCATGAACTATATCTATGGTTGGTCGAAAGACGAGAGTTTTTATAACAAGAAGATTCTATTAAATGTTTATATTCTGAATCCAAGTCGGCTGGAACCGTAGGACGCTTTTCAGGAGAAATTTTTACCTTATCTTCAGAGTTATCAGCAAAAAAATAGTGTTTGAGGTGAAGCGATTCCCACCATTAAAATACCAAAATTAAATAAATTAATACTACATCGATATGTTGACTACTATTTTAACAGTTTATAATTCTATCTTCACCTATACACATTCATCGCTTTTGAATATGGGGATATTATAAGTTCCGGCTATGATTCATTATCATAAAATTTTGATTACATGGATGGTTTCCATTTTAAAAAAATCAATTTATTACAGTAATACGCAATAATCCAAAAACAGTGAGTTTCGGGTTTAAATTTTCGTCTAATAATATGCGTTCGTTATGCATATATAAAATAAACATAATATTTACGCATTTAACTTTCTTGGTATGGAACAAAACATTAGACATAAATTACCTCGATAAATCATTGTATAAAATTTCTTCTGCATTGTGGAAAAATATTAGACCAGATGCAATTCCTTCGGCTAATTTGAGCTTTGTAGTCTATGAAATATTTTTAAATACTTTTGAAGATTATTTTTGATCCATTCATTGATTACATATAATTCATTATAGATTTCAAGTGTACCGCAACTATTATTCAATGAGGCGATGAGGTAAATGAACTACCACTTTTATTAATGGTTCTAAAGGCCAATAGCTTCAACTTACTATTTTTCAATATGATCATTTCTTGATAACAATTTGATAATATCCAAATATATTTGAACGTTATCTCGATTGGTAGCAATTTTTCCTAAAGCAAATGGTTTTCTATCATAAGTTCCATTTTTAATCTTCTAGTTATATTAACACGATATTATTTTTTAAAAAGACCTAATGATATAGTAGCAGTGGTGTTGTTGTCTTTCATATTCAAGGGGTTTTTTATGAATAGCGTTCTTTTACCGTCAAAATTATATTTTGAGATGCCGTCAAACAATTCTTTTTTTTCTTTATTAACTCATCAAAAACCTTCCGCTTTGTATCCGTCGATACGTTATCATTACCCTTTGATATTTCTATTACATATTTGAACCAGTTAAGTTTTTCAGTATTCAAATCCTCAAGCTCTATAGCGGTCGTCTTGACCAACATCTTCAATTTTTGCGCCCTTTGAAAGTAACATTATTGAAATTAAGGTATCAATGTCGTCCTGACGCGAATTGGCAGTACTATCATTTTCATACTTCACTTCATCTGAATCAATTGCCATTTTTATTTTCTTGTCTAGATCTTTGTGGGTATTTGCAAGAGCTAGTAAAAAAAAAATTAAAAAATATTGTTAATTTTCGATTATCCAATCCTTTTGATAAAAATAACGATGCGATACATGCATTATTAGGTTTAGTTGCATTAATCAAACGACCAAAAGCTGTTTGACTGGTTTTCTAACTTCCTTTACATATTCAGAAACTTCTCGTAATAGTTTTATGTAATTCTCTATCGCTTCGTCTTTTTCCTCATTTGAAACACTCGAATATAATCCATGCCAGAATTTAATTATGTTAGTTAAGTTCTGGCACACTTCTTGATAATAGTCAGCTATGTCACCTAACAAGACTAGAGCTCTGCTAAACTCTTGTGCATATTGTAAAAGGCCCGTTGAAAGTTTGCTGTTACAACTGACGGGAAGGAAAAAATTTTAGAAACTATTGTCGTTTTTCTAAAACTAAGGTTAACACCAAACACGTAGAACAAAGAGATGCATAATTAATTGTCACTCCGTTACACTGTCAATGACAATGTAACAATGTGCTGCACATCAGAAATCTGTGCCAGGTTTTGTTGATCATTAGTCGGATGTGGTGTCCGATCATCAGCCCGGATTATTAGCCGCACTAAATTTTGTATATATGTATTTATTGGCCAATCGTTTTTCAGCATAAAATTAAACACGAGAAATGGTAAGTGTTCATTAAGATCATATTGAATAATGTATTTTTTGTGAGGTTAAGAATGTTTAAAATGCCACTCAATGTCATGTTCTTGTCAAGAAATATTATCATAATAACTTATTCAACACACTTCAAGTCAAAATAAGTGAATCCCATAATGACTCATGCAATATGGCAGTACCAAAAAAATTTCTGAATTTGCCAGATTATGATTAATAATATCGAATTGGCAAAAAGGGAGGGGGATTATTAGTTTAGAGATGCTAAATAGAAATTTATACATTTGTATTAATCAATTGTAAAATAATTAATGCCATTATTAATGAAAAGATCTTTGTTAATGAAGAGATCATTATTAATGAAGATATAATTAATCAGATTAATTATTAAACAATTAAGTATATTAATATTATGCAAACAATTCATTCTACATATTTATAAATAAACTATTTTAATAAGATAATAGTCAAATAATAATAATAAGAAGCCAATACAAAATGAGTCTGCCAGGGTGACTTCTAAAAGTTTGGGCCACATGATATTGCTGATTGACACTGGCATTTCCAATCTGCCAATTCTGATCTATGGGATATTTATGTACTACAAGTATATTAAATATACTTGATTGACACTTGTCTCAGTTTGCAAGATGAATAAAGAATATAATAAGAGTTTATTCAATTCTTCACAAGTTTTATTAATCATATCAGAGCTTACATTATCTTATATTAGTATCATATTATTTAGTAAAGAGTATTGATGAAGAGATTCTTTCAGTATTTCTTCAGTATCTTCTATATTAAAAATAAATTCTTTGAATTTAATATTATTATTCTTTTTACAGGTAATAGTAATTAATTATGATTTTGATAAATTATTGAAAAATAATTAAATAGAATTTTAGATAAGTATAATTAACAAATATATATATTTTTAATTATACTTTTTATGCTAATATCATTTTTATTTATTCTCATTATCTTCTATAGTTATAATATTCACATCATCAGTTAATATACTCTTGGTAAAATATAATTTTTCTTTATGATTATCAGATTCTTCTGGATATGACAAAAATATTAAGTATAGCTTTCTATTTACTGATGTCCAACTCAGCTATCAATATTTTTATCATTCTGTTATCTGGATTTTCTCTTTTATTAGTATTATTTTACTCTATCTCATCATTATGTGAATATAGTGCCAGTTATTAGCTGACTTTTTAATATAAATTTGCTTGATTATCTGTTTAAATAATAATCAATTTGATTTGACATAAGTCTGGATCTCTTTTTTTGAATTTTTATCAATAGTAATATCATTAGACATATTATTGATAGTAACTTCTATACTATTGAAATCAGTAACTTGAATTTTTTTAATCTTGGTAGATATAACAGATAAGATATTAGTTATAATTTCTTTACTTTCAGGTTTTCTTAAAACAAAAAATAGTAGAATAGTATAATATTCAAAATCACAGTACAGTAATCTTCATCATTTACTATTGGATATAATATTAATCTGCTAGATTAAATACTTGTATAGAAGAAAGTAACTTTCAAGAAAGATAAGACAGTTACAGATTTAGCAAGTAATATCAGTAAAATATGAACTGTCTAGATTTATTACTTTTATATTAATATTTTGCTTTCTTTTACTCTTGATATACTTATCAGTTCACTAATTATTATTTATAGACATAGTAATTCATGCTTTCTTGAAATTATCTTATCACTATGATTAAAGATGGCTCCTCAACTAATTGCGGCTTGCAGTAGCCAATCAGAGAATTGTGACAGAGTTGTGGTAGCCAATCAGAGAATTGCGACAGAGTTGCAGCTAGTTGCGGCTCCCATCTCTAACTATGATATCACTATGTTAGTTAAAATTTGGTATAGTTATTCTTTTTATGTTGGTATTATTTCATTAATAAGTATCCAAAGCAGTAAATTAAGTCTTGGATAATTAAAATAATATAGATAATATCTTTTAATAACATTTTAATAGACTTCAATCATCATTATTATTTTTCTAAAAGATATTATAAATTTAACTGATCATGCCCACAGATGCCATTACTCTAATGAATATTAGTTGATCTAGTAATAGACCTATAGTAATTATAAGAAATTTTTCATACAGAATTAATACATTTCTCTTACAGTACTTCATTTAATATCTGTTAATATCATAGAGTTTTCTTGAGTATCAATAGATATTAATAGGTACATATTGAAATATTTCTGCATCAGCTTTAAAATTGACTCTTAATATGCTAGTAGACAGATAATATATATCTTAAATTACAATCTTCTTGTGTTGGATAAAAGATGAGATTAATAAAGTCAAACTTATTAGTTACTTTACTAATATTATAAGTTATAGCATATAGTTATGTTTCATATTATATTTCATGTTATGTTTTATGATTTGTATTATTTAATGACTTGGCTTTCTCTTTGAGCTTAAGTTTTAGGATTTAATTCATGTGCCAAGTGTATAATTGAACTGTTAAAGATCTTTATATCTTAGTTATTACATTAATCTTTATAAAATCTTTATCAATAAATATAAATCTTGGATTAATATCACATAGCTTCAAGATTTCTAGAAAGCTCTCCAAGACTTTACAATATCTGTTTGTACTAGTACTTATATTTATCTTAGTTATATCAAATATAAGATAGACAATTAGAAAATCAGTATCTTTAACTTCTGCTATGATATCATAAAGTTCATAATATTTGCATATAGTTTTATAAGTGGTATCTAAGTATATCTTGATAATATTAATATTATAATTCTTAATTTCATTCAGTAATAGAATAGTAAAACCAATAGTTATAATCTTTGAATCTTTTATATCAAGACACAAATAGAAATTATGTCTATTATTTTTATTAAGTAACTTGCAAGCAGATTCAATATGATTATTATAATATTAGAATAACTTCTGGTCTGCTATAGACTTTCAGAAGTAAATATGCTTGAAAGTGTACTTTAAGATATCAAATCCTTGATATTATAAGTAATTTTTTAAGCTCATTACAGTAAGATACAAATATGTATTAATTTTTTCTCATAATTTATTAGATATCTCAATACAAAGATCTAAATATAAATAGAGAAATTCATGATATATATTCATTGTTATAATACTGAATATTATATCAATATATATGATAACTTTCTCTTTATAATCATATCATATTTATCATTTGTGATTAGAATTTTTATATATTTTGCCCTATACATCTCTCAATTGGCAATATAAATAAGAAAAATGACTGACTGCATTTCTGAATTTTCTGGATATATTCAAATTATGAAAACTTTAATAATATATCTCAGTTAGTAAGTAATAATCTAATAAAAATTTATTTTACAAGATAAAATTACTTACTTTCATGAAAAATTATCATCATCTTCAACTTCTGTAATTACAAGATTGGCTATCTTCTTTGCTATCTTATTTTAAGTGATGATAATAGCTAATTATATCAGTAAGTAAGTCTTATAAGTTACATTAACTATTCTATTAATATGTATATCAGTTATTAGATCTTGGATTTTATATTTAATAAAGTCATCATATTAAGATAGTTAATTTTAATTTATGTGATATTATTGATATGTTCTTGTAATTCTTCTGATATATTTGCTATGATTCTAGCTAGTAATATGCACTCTTTATTTCTTTGATCCTAATTCTTCTTATATCTTTTACATATCTTATAACATATATTATTTCAAGTAAATTAATTATCAGGATAATTACATTTGTATTTAGTATAAAATATCATTTTTTAAGAATTTATTTATATGTAATTAGAATTTAGATATTGAACAATAGCATATAAGAGATCTTTTATAATATATTTAATATATTTATTTTGTAATTAGTATTAGAATTTAGATATCAAATAGTAAAAAAATAATATACTTTAACATATTTAAAATTACATAATCATAAAATTTGAGAATTTAAACTTTAAGTATTATCTAAATTGAATCTAATATGATATATTTATTTAGATTTTTTAGATTTCAATTACTTGATAGTACACAAGAAAAATAGTATTTAAATATTATATTGAAGATATATTTATTAAAATAATAAATTTTATTAAAATAATAAATTAGCTTAAATGATTTATATTAACTTTATTTTTTTAATATATTATTAAATATAATCAAATCAAGCTAAATAATATCTCATAAATCAGAATTGACAGATCAAAAGTACTGGTATTGATCAGCAATATCACATGACCTGAACTTTTAGAGTTATCCTGGCAGACTCCCTAAATACATA